AATGTAATAAAGAAATTTTCTCAAAAAATTCTTTGTTGTAGAGTTCTATTGCTAAATTTAGACTAGTTTTTGATCATCATTACTAAATTTAGACTAATACTCAACCGTCATATCTAATTTGGCAGTAAGGAAAATAATTTTTTAATCAAATCCTTTTTTTAAAAAATTTTATTGCAATTTTGAACAAATCACAAAATCACAATTTTTTAAAAAGATAGATAATTCGAACCTCTCATCTTTATGAAAGATGAACAAGGGGAAGAAAATGAACAAAAAAGATTTAAATTGACTATTGAAACATTGAAAGATCAAGTTCAAGTACAAGACAAAGACCATGCTAATCTTATGGCAGAATTAGCATATACAAAAAAACTATTAACAAATTCTGGAATACAAAATACAAAATTATTAAGTGAAAATATGAAAATAGCAAATTAAAATTAAAAGAAAAAATATGATGGACATTCTTATGTTACACGATCACCAATATACATTTCAACTGAAGATTTTAAAGTATTATTACCTATTTAGAGGTGAATGGACAAACACTAATTAACCTGTGTTCAAACTTGGCAGTAATATAATCCTTTATCTTTTAAAACATTTTCATGGATAATAGTTGTTCTATAATTATTGTTAAATTAATTGTTATTAGATAACATAAATAAAAATTTGATTCTAATATCTATTTATAAAACTTGTATATTTTTATAATTGGTTAAATGCTGGGCTGGCAAAATATATGCAATGATTTAGTTGAAGCTTCCTTTTCTCAAAAATAAAATTTTCTTTAAAACTTTTATGTAATTTATTCAGGCCAATCAAATTTCGTGATAAAATCAAAATATGATCAATGAAAATCATTACCAATTTTCGAATGTCCGCCATGCTTCAATGATCAGCAATCAAGAGTAGAATTAATTGTTGAAATTGCCAAGCATGAATGAACAATTAAGGGGTTACACTTATCAAATCATACAAAAATCCCTTAAAATTATGTGCCAATTACTTGATTTTGATAAGTGTAACCCTTAATGAATATGATGATTGTGATCACTGATTTATATGATGATATCATTAATTTAATTGATAATCAGGAAAGGTTTTGTTTAGATAGCCTATTAACATATTCTACATCTGAATAGATTTCCAAAAGAAATCCAGTTGTGAAACTTATACAAACACTTACTATTACATACAATGAAAATGAAAATCAAATTAATGGGAAGCCTTTTAAATTTGCTGTAGCAGTTGGTATTATTTATGGGGGCAAGACATACAAAATATGTATCTGCTGTCAACTTAGCAACATCAGCAATCAAATACTCTTTATCAATATATTTCAAATTTTTACAAATTTTTTAAATGGCAGGAGGATTTAGCTGGTAAACCTGAACCACTCCCCGAGGGTTTGTTATTTATGGCTTTTGATACAAACAAAAAGGTCAAAAAAACTATCTAGATCATAGTAATAATACTGTAATTTTCAATACTGTAACAAGAACTCAAGTTCTTGAAGACATTCTATACACCATTCCTTTTATGATCTATGTGACCATTGTGATTTGCTAGTGTATTTCTATATAAATATAATATATTTTTTCTATAAATCAAAACAAGCTTGCTGACAGAATTTTTTTTTTTTTTCAAAAATCTGGTGGGAATTCAGAATTTCTTTTGAGAGAATAAATACCTTTGAACATTGAAATTAGATGGCTATGACCATTCGGATATTATTATATCAATATACAATTATTTATTACTTTTAAATAATGAGGACATTAAATTAAACAGACGACTTATTTAATATTAATATGCATGCATGTCACTTTGTTTGGTTTGTTATATATAGTATATCATAATGTATGTAGCACGAAGACCTTATACTATATTAATATTAATATAACTACTACTATCATGCTGGAAATTACACGATTATTCCATCCCATTAAATATTGTATTCAGTTTTAAATAAAAAAGATATTAATAGATAAATATTTAAAATGAATAAGATGTCAATATATTCCGTAATGCCCCATTTTTTATTTATATCTACCGAATAAAGTCTTTCTTTAAATATGTAATACAAACAAATAATTCATAATAGGGTAAGAAATTACTTTATAAAAAAGTAAATTTTTTATAGATAGATATAATTTTGTACGCCCATATGATTTATTAATTAATACTAATAAAATTCCACGGATATTAACAACTACTTGATGGCAGAAGTTTAAACAATATTCTAGACACCCAACAATAAAGTTTATTTGAGAAATGTAATATAAAAATATTATTCTTTAATAAAGTAAAAGTTGCCATTTAATTTGCTTCGCTTCAAGTAAAAGCTCCTTCTGTTGATGATAAAAGTGAAATTTTGAAAATGTAAAGATACTTGATTGCTACAGGATTGCCAACATGTCTTTTTTGAGAATGTAAAAATATTTAATTGTTACTAAAAAACTAAATTGATTTCTTCTTTATTATCAAAAAAAAGCCAACACGTCTCTTTGAAAGCATAAAGATACTTGGTCACTACTAAAAAAAAATGGAATTGATTTCTTTATTGTCAAAAATAGCCAACATGTCTTTTTTGAAAATGTAAAGATACTTGGTTGCTACAAATTGATTTCTTCATCGAAAAAAAAAAAGCCAACATATCTTTTTTGAAAATGTAAAGATACTTAGACAACACTAAAAAAACAAGATAATTCATAATAATAATTGTTTCTTTATTATCAAAAGTCTTTTCGAAAATCTAAAGATAAAAAATGGTACAATGCTAATTTTTCAATGGTTAATTGAAATAAAAAACACACACATAGATTCTTAACAAATAGAGTAGATAGATGCATAATAAACAAATATTTTTTGAACACGCATGTATACAATATAATATTAACGCTAGTAAAAAAAAGGTTTCCCAATGTTTTTTTGTATTTTTCATTTAATTCATTTTACACAGTTACACGGCATAATAATAATTCAAGATAATAATATGAATTCGACATCGTGCTAATTAATACAAAGTTAATTCGTTGGATTTTATCCGTTGACAATTAATCATACTATTGATAATGCATGTAATTAACGGGTTTTCATAATCCAAATTTGTTTGTTATCTGAATTCGTAAGTATACAATCATATTGTATGGTCTATTTATATTAGTAATCACACTATAGATAAAAAATAAATAAATAAATAAAGTTATCGTATTATTTTAAAACTTCAAAAAAAAAACCCTTCAAAAATGCGTAACGATAATCAGAGTTTTTCAACATTAGAAAATATCAATAAATTATTTAAAAAACTTTTAAACTCTGATAAAGATGCTTTACCATTAAAACATATTAATAAATTAGTAAATGATTTGACAGAAATGTTATCAACAGACTTTCATGATACGGAAATTATAGTTGGGGAAGATGAAGACATCAAAACTTTTAAAGTTCATTCCACAATCTTGAAAGCAAGGTCTTCATTTTTTAAAACGACATTATCAAATAATATTAAAAAATCTGCAAATGGCATTTATTTATTTGAGATGAAAAATATTTCCCCGCAAAGTTTTGAAATTCTTTTGACGTAAGTTTGATATAGTCATTTATTTTCAATCAATTAGTTAATTTATTTATTTATTTATTTATTTATCTATTTATTTATTTAATAGATATATTTACAACGGAACTATTAGTATCGACTTGGATGATATGGATGCAGGATCGATTCTCAAACTTATTGAAGCATGTGCTGAATTAGCTCTTGATGATTTGAGCGAGGATTTACAAAATTACTTGATCACTGAAAAAGAAGAATGGATTCAACAGAATTTAGTATACGTGGATAATATTTCATTCGAAAAATATCGACCGTCACTCAAACTACTTCAAGCTTATTGTGATGAATTATACGAGAGCTATCCAGAACTATATTTAATATCTAATGATTTCCTTGATATTGAAAAATCGTTGTTTAAGTCTTTGTTGGAGAAAGATGCGTTAGAAATGGACGAAATTGAAATTTGGAGTTATGTTATTCAATGGGGATTAGGACAAGCAAATGATGAAGAGTTGGAGTTAAAGGATGTTTCATTATGGGATGATGATGATTTTGTTAAATTTAAAAATATATTACAAGACTTTATTCCATTAATAAGATTTAATCAAATAACTTCAAGTGATTTTTTTTATAGTGTTACGCCATATAAAGAAATTTTTGACCCAATATTATATGAAAAAATTCATCAATATTACCTCGATAAACGGCTATCAACTTCCTTGTGTCAAAAAGGACCAAGAGGAAAAGGATATTTGTTAAATTTACAAATGAAATCAATGATTTCTAGCTGGATCGACGATAAATTAACTAAAGATCTATTATATAATTCAACTAATTCGCCTTATGATTTTGAGTTAATTCTTCGTGGATCAGAAGATGGATTTTCAAGATCAGTTTTTGAAGAGAAGTGTTATAACATTGAACAAACTTTAGCGATCATGAGAATTCATGAAACAAACAAATTAATTGGTTGTTATAATCCGGTTTGTTGGAATAAAAAAGAAAAAAGTCTAAATGACCAATATTTTATTAACACTGATAAAAGTTTTATATTTGAGATAGATCGTCAAACGTTTGGTTCGCTATCAAGATTCATTTCTAAAGTTGATGACAAACTAATAAACGATTCAAAATTAAGCAAAGTCATAAATCCTCAGCGAGCAATATTTCATGATCGCCAAAAGTTTAGTTTAAAAAAAGATGGCGTAAAATTTCATGAAATAATACTAAATTTTCTTGATCTACAACTATGCATAAGCAATAACAAGAAGCCTTATTGTTTATTTAATAATGATGCTGACAATTCTTATCAACGTAATTTGAATATTCAAAACATGATTAAAAGTGTTCACTTGTTGGCAGAGTATGAAGTGTATAAATTAGTAGAGAAGGATTTTTGCAAACTTTAATTTTTTATTTACATACAAGAGAACAAGAGAACTTAAAAAACATTTGCAAAATTTAATCTTTTTATAATTCTAATATTTATTTACATATTATTTTTTGCTAATCGTATATTAATTTTTTTTATACGTAATGTTAAGATTAATTGTAATCAACAAGTTTAATAAGTTTAATAAATTTCTAAATTTCAATTTCATTTTCATTATCATCTAAAGATTTTGCAACTGACTCAAACCATCTTTCTTCTTTATTCCAAGTAGATATTGTAATTGAAGAGTTTAAATATTGTTCTTTATTTATTCTATCATCATCGGCGCCAAGTTCATTATCAGTGATTTCTTCAACAGTTTTACTTTCTTCTACTAACATTTCAATGTTATTAAAATCAAATTTATTAGAACTATCAGTTTTACTATTTCTTCTACTATTATCATTACTCCTACTGTTCTCTAATTTAACTAAAAGTTCACCAAATTCATTATTAACTTGATTTTTCCAATTTTGCATTTCTACTGGAGAATTATAATAAAGAATTTCTTGATAATTTTTAAATAAACTATATGGTATGAACTTCACCTCGCCTCTATTTAATTTATATTTTGCGTCTTTTGGTAAAAGTAATTTGAATAATATTAATTTTGCAAATTTATTTTGTGATGATGATGATGATGATGATGATATTGTTGACGCTTTTGATGAGGATGACGGTGTTGATATTGGAATTGTAAATACTTCAGGATATAATATCGCGTTCGAATAAAGATTTTCTTCGTTTATTAAATGTATTAATTGATGTAATGATTGCGCTAAATCATATCTGAGACTATCTAAATCCAATCTTTTCGGGTTAGCGTTAACACTGTTGTTGCTATAAATGCTATTACGAAGACTATGATTGTCGCTATTGTCGCTAGGAGTGAGCGTTGGACTATAAGAACCACCAAAAAACGTTTGACCCAATTGACTTAGCATATCAGTTAATCTCATTCCATTTTTTCTTTTCAGATAATCTAACTCAAATTTATTTAAAGAATTGCATATATTAGATAATTTAGCCATTGGGATTTGATGTCTAGAATTTTCCATTACCAAAACTTGTGAACCTTGGGGTGTTTTTTCCAGAACAAACAGTCCAGTGTAAATTCGATCGGGCTCAAGTAAGCAATTTAAACCCGAATCGGAATAAACGAACATTTTTTCTAAAAAACATAACATTTCGCCCGGACTCACTTGAATCTGTTCAGACATTAGACGAGCTATTAGTCTTGGATCAGTGAATCGATAACCCAGTTTATGAAAATGTTCTTCCGTTGATGATGATGACGGAAATGAAGGTGCTGAAGGTGATATACATAACGGAGGCACATCTATATCGTCGCCGCCGTTTTTGGTATTATCACCACCATTATCATTATTATTATCATTATCATTATTATAATTATTATTATTATAATTATTATTATTATAAGTTTTAATTTGACTAACAAGGAATAACATTTGACCTTTACCAAAATTATTTTGTTTTTTAGTATCATCATCATTACGTCGTTCTTGTAGTTTAATGTTATTAATTATAATATTGTTATTCTTAATAAACATTGATTTTAAATAATTTTTAGAATCATTTACTATTTTAATAATATTTGAACTAATATTATCTTGCTTTCCTGATGTAGAAGTGATGACGGATGAAGAACAATCGGTTGGTTGTTTTTTTAGATGTCCAGTATTTAATATATGATCATATAATGTTCCTGATTCTGATAACGGAATACTTAACGAATCGTACAATTGCTTTGCACTTAACGCAAACATTTCGCGAAATAGAATAGAATAAGGAACTCTACGAGATACTGGCTTTTTTTTTGATAAAAGATGCCTTTCAATATAAGGGAGCCTTTATGTATATATATTTGGGAAAGAAAATTTATATTATTATTATCGTTATTTAATGGAAAATAAAAAATATTATATTTTAGAAGAATGTATTTACCAATTTTCAATACTTTTCCAATCATGTGATACCCGATATATCCATTGGAAAACAGGATGAAATGATGTGAATTCATCTTCTAAATTCTAAAAAAAAAAAAAAAAAAACCAATTTTATTAGAAAAAATTGCTGCAATAAACAAAATCAAAAAAAAAAACTATTGTATTTTTAAAATTTACATCTTGACTGTATTCATTTGTAATTTTCTTGATAGGAATAAAACCATCATTCGATACTAAAATCCAACCATTTTCATTATATATGGCTGCGCCTAGTACAACTTTTTGAGCGTGGCGTTTTCTTTGAAGTTCAGCATTTCTCGAAATAACAACAACAGTTATGAGAATTGCGCATGTAATTAATGATCCAGTAACATTCACTAAATAATATTTGCGCGAATTCAAGATAAAATCAAAATCATTAGATAATCGTTTAAATTAAAATAATTTAGACGAAATAAATTAGTATTAGCTTACATCCGAGCAATAAATTATCACCAATACTACCACTATTGACGATAATCTGACCAGGGGTAATGAAATAATGAGTTCCAGCATATGCAGTATAATGCATACCACAAACAGCGATTCCCATAATTAAAGCACTTCCTAATTTTTTGTGCCATTGATTCTTCCACTTTGATCTTAAACGAAAAAATATGTATATAGCTGCATTTGATGCTATTATTGCAATTATTATACTGGCTATAAAATATGAAAGGTCATATTTTATAATATAACTTTTTATTGCGTATTGTCCACAATAATGCATAAACGCTATAATTATTATTATTTAAATATTTAAAATAGAATTAAATTTAAATTTATTATTTGAAAAATAAAAATTATTTGAATGATTAATTAATTACCAACAGTGAGACCAGCTAAAGTTCCACCGAATAAAATACGTTTTATATTTACTTGCGGCTGAGATCCCACCAAAAGGAACGCAAGGGTTAGTACGACTAATGGGACTATCAAAGATAAAATTGTGTACCTAATAAAATGCATGGACGATGAACGAGCGTGTGGGATTAATATGAGATTTTTTAGATAATAATATTTATCGAATAAAACGTTCAATAATTGAAGATTAATACTAACCAAGGATCATAACCTAACTGTGCTTGAGGACTACCGTCACCTAGTATGCAAGCTTTCATTCCGATAAAATGCGTTGTCCAAATACCAACGAAACCCATACTAAATGCAGCGCCTATTAATCTAAACCAATTCATTGCCCCGAGATGAGAAGTACGTTTTCCCAACAACTCTAAAGCTGTTCTTGCTCCTAAAACCGATACGCAGTATGATATAGCCACTATCAAGTAATTCGTTTCTTGATGGACTTCTATGTGCCCATCTTTGTCTGGCATAAAATCCATGACGAATATATGACAAATATGGATGATTTTTGTATGAATGAATGTTTATTAAGTGAAATAGTGATTCTTGGATGACTCCTATCCTAACAATTTGTTTGGATGGAAAATTTAGGTCTAAATGAGGATTGAGATTTGGAAATGAATGAGAAGTAGTGGTTTTTATAAAAATCGATAATAGAATTTTTTCACATCTATAAATGAAAAAAATTTACTATTTATATATTAAGATTTTTTAAATAAATATTTTTAATGAATAAATCAAAAAAACAACTAGAAAAAATACAATAAAAAATACAATAAAAAATACTATTAAGGATTTTTATATTTTTGGAAACATAATTAACAATATAAATAATATAATATAGCAATAAATTATTTATTTGTTTGTTCTTTTTAAAAATTATTTTCTAATATTCCATCATCGGACATTCCATTATTTGTTTGAGAATGAATGTATTCGAACGTTCATTTTTGAATTTTTGAATTGGGATTAAATGTTTTTTTAATATTTATAGCCGATCTTTACGGTATTTGGTTTCAAAGACTTTAATACAAACATAATTAAAAAAATGGTCTCACAAATTAATTGGTTTCTTGTATCCTTTTTTTGCGTGAAAATGGAAATTTTCAATGATGTGTGGTTGTATTGTAGAAATGAGAAATTAAGAATAGAATGGGCAAAATGAACGACGAAAATCATCTATCAGTTCGTTTTGCTTTGCTTTTCTGGAATTACATTAGAAATATACATCGGATTCGTTCCCAAGAGTGATACATAGATATTAATTGATATTTTATTTGACATATATCGTTAATGCATGTTATTTTAATAATGCACACCTATATATATTTGATGTAAAAACTTGTTATTTTTCTTAATTAGTATTTCTCGTACCACATAATATTAATATGTAGGTTGAACCTCCGCTAAAAATTTTATTTGTAAACATATCCCTTCTTATATTATTATTATTTGTTTCTTTATATTTTCTAATTTAGATTTCTTTCAGGCTTTTGTATCTTTGTTTCTAAAGTCTTTTTAGTATTAATCTTCTCTTTCTATCCCATCTAAAGCGAACACATTGAGTGGGTGTTTACATAAATCCATAGATATCTATCGAATATAAAGGTTTAATAATTAATTAAAATGCGTTGTTTGTTTGGTAAACAATTCGTTTGGTGGTCAGTTTTATGGTGATAATTGTACAGCTTATTTTGGATGCTTTAATGAACGAAAAAACGTAAATTCTGCATAATAACGTCATGTATTCTAAAAAAGCGTGAAAAATAGTAACACAAAATTTATTTTACTTGATTGATTTTTTCCTAAAAGGTTTTGGCGTAAACCTAGAGACGTTATTGTCATATCTCGAAATGTTGAAAACGACAACAAACAAAAGGAAAAACATTTCGAAGAAGTTTTATTGGATAACCTTTTTCAGGGCTCTATTTGTTGTTCACAATGCAATGGACTAGTAAACAGAAATTTCCATTAGAAAAAAATTTTCACCAGGGGCTAGAAATAGTATTTTAAAAATCTGGATTTTTCCTTTAACTCCCTAAAAAAAAACTAGTTTCCTTTTTTTTTTTTAATTGGGAATTTTAGTAGGTGATAGACAGTATTATTAATCCAAGGGTATATCTATTTTTATAAAAAGCAATTTATGCAAGAGAATGAAGTTTATTTGCAATCGTGAAAATTAAAAAGAAATTTCATATTTGATTATAGATTTCAATTATGTTAAATTGATCGTGCCAAACAAAGCACCAACAATCAAATAACCAATGAGTTAATTGCAGCACGAACCAATGTTTTAGAGCAATAAACAAATGATAAGCGCAAGTATATTTGATGAAATATATAATGGAACACAAATCCTGTGATTGATTTGCTGAATATGTTTGGGTGATCGCACCAAGGGTAAACATTACCGATTTTTGAACTTTAATTGAAATGATGACGACAATTTTTCGGTGGAATAATTCATCCACTAATTTCTTTATGCAATCATAAAATCCAATGCTATACAGTTCAGCATAAATAATAAAACTGCCACTTAATGATGTATAACGAAGCTTTTGACTTTAGATGACTATAGTATTTACTAAGGGTAGTATTGGTGATTTACTGGATATCAGACTAGAGTTTTTATTCACAATACGATTTCTTACTCGAATGATTTAAAGAAAAATTGATTGGAATCTAAAAGTTTTTTTTTTTTTTGCCTTTTTTTAATAAACTTTTTGAAAGTCATCTGTACCCAAGAGTTAAAAAATTTGAAATACCACATGATCCACTACCACATGTTAGATTTTAAGAAAACCAATCATTCATAATGTTTTAATGCAGCAATAATCTTTGCGTCAACTACATGGTCATCTGTACCCAAGAGTTAAAAAATTTGGAAATATCACGTGATCCACTACCACATGTTGGATTAAAAAAACCAACCATTCATAATGTTTTAATGCAGCAATAATCTTGGCGTCAACTACATGGCCAATTTGGCAATGATTTTCTTTTGTTTTTAACAAATGGCAGGAAAAAAAACAATGAAAAAAATTGTTACACAAGATTAGATTTATTTTAGAAAAAAGCCGATAGGTTTTGAAATTAAAATAAAAATTTTGTTTTGGAATTTTGAAGCTGACCAATTGTTACCTACCATAAGCAATAAATTGATTATTCATCCACGCTCTGTACCGTATACAATCAAAAAGAATTTTTTTTTAGAATTATAAATAAGATCCGGTTTAATCCGGTTGCTAATTATTATTATTATAAAAATAAACAAAACCCAGTTCTTAAAAGCGCCCATTAATTTTTGCATGTGTGACAAAATCCCGTTAAAGTCAATAAATGGGACCTTAAGCTCTGTCAATATTTATTAAATAATAGGGTTTTATTTTGTTTTCATTTATGATTCTAGGCAAGAATTTTTAATTAATATTAATGTTTCTCAGATTAATAATAATAATAGTGATAGTGAAAACATTCGGCAATCTGAGCTATTTGTGTCACAATTAGTTTGTTATAATTTTGAATTTCTATGACGCACGCACTTCGATAATAATATTTATTACTGTTGTTGTTTTCACCTCATCAAAATCCTTTCTGATATATTCGCTGTTTAAGTACTTCATGGGGGATTGCAATACAGAACAGATTTATAATAATTAATTTATAAATTTAGAATCTGCAATTCGGAGTTTTCGATCACCAATCCATTTTTAAGTTTGAATTTAGTTTATCACTATCAAAACAAAAGTCTTGTAAATTACGAAAGTTAAATATATATTTTTTGAATTTTTCGCAACCCTGAATAATATATTTTTAGTAGTCTTGTGCGAATTTGCCAATTCACACACTTGAAATTAAATTAGCCAATCAGAATTTCATATCCAAACGCTCCACCCCAAAATTTTAATTAAGATTTCAAACAGTCTTATTATCGAATTTAACAAAACCCTTTATTAAGCATGTTAGACTGGGGGTGTTACAGTCGATCAATAAGTTATTTTTTTTTTAATGATCGACAACGCAAAGAAAATAATAAATAAAATCATATTTTCAAAATGCTACTAGTCCGTTAAAAGGAGAATATTATTCTCAACTTTGAGCATGGAATAGTATAATATATCTAGTTTATCGGTACAGAGAGATTTTTGAAGATGACAAACACCATTGATGAAAACGTCACCATCAAAAATTTCCAATAGTGTAATGGATATAATAAAACACATTTTCAAAATGCTACTAGTCTGTGAAAGAGATATATTATGTATAGAGAGATTTTTTCAGGTAATAAATACCAGTTATGAAAAAATCGTGACTAAAAAACACTAAAATCATCATATTGCAATGGGAATAATAAAAATCCATATTTTCATAATCCTAATAATCCATGAAAAAAAGTCATGTCGTTTTCATTTTCGAGTTGTAGTATAATATATCTAGTTTGACTGTATAGAGAGATTTTTGCAGGTAATAAATACCAATTGTGTAAGAAATCGTAAAAAAAGTCATATCGTTTTCATTTTCGAGTATGTTGTAGTATAATATATATACCAGTTGTGAAAAAATCGTAAAATAAAATTTTTTTCAAAAAAAAAATTTTCACCATGAAAATTGCCTTTTAATAAATGATTGTCACCGAATCTGAAATGCCGAAATTATATCCAAAATTACTTGCCGAGTTGATTTTTTCAAAAACTACTTCGGCTAACATCCTTACCCTTTATCATGAAAACGTATTAACCAACTTTTAAATGATTTGACAAACTTGTTGAACGAATCTAATTATTATGATATGGAAATCAAAGTTGGAGAAGATGAGGATGTTAAAACTTCCAAAGCTCATTCTAATATTTAAAGATACTTTGTCAAATAATTAGCTAAAAAATCCTATTTTATTTCAAAAGAAAATGTTTCTCCTAATGTATTTGAAGTTCTTTTAGCATCATCAGCAAAATTTTTAAGGTAAAATGATTATCAACTTGATATAATATTTTTGTGTCTATTTTAGAGGTTGGCACCGCGCAAAAATTCTTTAACCGGTTAATTAACCGTTAAAATTAAGAGTTAACCGGTTAACCGATT